CAAAGCGACCAGGTGAACAGCCCACTTATAGTTTGGCTATTACAGATTTGGGTCATTCTTTCAAATATCCTCAAAAAAATAGACAGTGGGAGCAGCTTTGTTACACGCAACACATATCATTAATGCATTCAACAATTTCAAAAAAACATTCAACCCTTTGAGTTTGTGCCTTATTTCTTTAACCAGTACTGTATAAAAATTGTGCTACAAAATAGTAGTTATGAAGAGGGCCTTAACTTCACAATCTTTCAACTTAACGTCAAAGAGCTGGGGATGTTTAACAGATGAGACGCTGCAGTCAATTAGCTCTCAAGCACCAGAGGGTGCTGCAGCCACCTAACAAGCCCCAGCTATACCCAGATTTGACAGAGAATACTACACTGGGAGAATGTGTTGATATGTAAATGTATGAATAAAATTTGTTGTTTGACATTTTCCTTAATCCAAATTAAAAATGTCAAAGAAAATTACAGAACATACCAGTGTAATGGTGAACATAATACAACAGACATCTAAGATTATATAAAGTTAAGTTCTCTCGGTGTAATATGTTATGTCTGGAAGAAGTGGTGGCATCAGGGAATGCAGTATGGGGGTTGAAGTATCACAGCATTAGGGGAAAGCCCTCTAAGTGTGTGACTCTCCTCATGTTGATGTAAAGTCTGTTGAATGGGTCAGAGATGTGTTAGTGATGTTGCTGTGTTCAATCAGCGTCTCTGATATTGACTTTGCTGTTGTTTCTCTAGTTGAGTTGTGCATGTCAATAAGATGTATCACACTTTTCTGAAATTACAGGACATCCCTGTAAACTGGGGATTTGAGATTCCCTGCTTTACAGCTCTGAACCTGTGATGCTTGAAAGAGTGATGTCACTGTGGGACGCAGCCAAATTAATTCACCTAATCAATTAAGCGGGGTCATGGAGGAGGCAAATGTCTAAGCTCCCACATGTTTTTTTTTTTCAGTGTTTGATAAATTAACTTTGACAGATAGCTTCTCCGGAGAAAATAAAGAATTCCAAGAGAGATGTATTTATAATCAAATCACGGGACAGCTTTGAAAGTTATGTGACCAAGCACATGCCAGTATCAAATTGTCTTTCAAAGACCGACATGTCAAATGTAGATAGAGTGCATTTGTATAGATTTAGATAAATAATTCTTAGTGAACCAGTGTTCAAAAGCACATTTTGCCTGTTACGCCTTCTGTCAAATCAGTCTCACTTTTCAACAAACACTTAATACTGCTTAAATGTAAATGTGTGCCTAGGTTGTTGGTTTAGGCTACAGATTAGTAACATTCAGGGCTAACTATAATAGGAAAGCAAAGGTCAGAAGCGGTTGTGTCCTCTTGTCAGTACTGTGCAGTGTTGCTGCCTCTGTGGTAGACCAAGCTGGTTCTATTGCTCAACTGGGCCGGCTGTATGTCTGACCTTGCTTTGAAGTGATCTCTGTCAGTGCCGTTAGTCATGTCACTAAGAGGCTTGCAGGCTGCAAATCAGTTTAGAACAGCCTCACCTGACTAATCTGATTACTTCAACAAGGCTGCAATCAATGTGCAAGACAGGATCAGAACAAACACATTGTCACACTTCCACATGTATTCATGTTCAGCACTGAAGCTATTTATTTGTTGTATTGTTTATGAGCATCTTTATGTTTTTTGTTTTTTTTTTTATGTGGACTTTCCCATCCCCCTCAAAGGCATAAATTCCAGCTGTAGTGAACTGTACATGTGGCCAGGTCAAAAGGGCAACAGCAGACATTCAGTAGCTTACCACAAGTTATTTTCAGCATCCAGCTCACATCGTTCTTCTGCCTTTATTAGCATTGCTCCCCATTTGATTCTCATCAGTGCATAAAGCCTCAGATAATGTGAAGAAAACTGGTCATATCCATTTATCAATCTAACAGAAACTTTATTATGAAATTTACTACTGGTAGTTGATCATGAGTGAGGTTCAGGTTATTGAGTAAATGTCAACCCATGCTGTAATTGGCTAAATGACTGGATAAAAGAACCATTTTACTGGTGTGTGTGTGTGTGTGTGTGTGTGTGTGTGTTCAAGGGTAAGTTGCTACATTTCAGTTAGTATATTTAGCTACTTCAGCTGTAGTTATTCTATGGGCACGACATAAAGCATGAGTGAAGGTCTCAGCAACTGCAGCAGAAGGGTTAAATGATTCAACCTAACCTCACCAGCTTCGAGCACCGGTCGATTACATGCATTACTAGCAATCGGTGACTTATAGCAGAGCGAATAAAAGTTCCTTGCTGCTATAACTACATGTGAGGTTAAAATTAATAGCGTTTGATGAGTAAAGTGCTCCTGTTCTGGCAAAAGTCCCATAAACTTCAACCCTCACTCCAACAAATGAATGACAAGTTCCAATCACGATCAAATCTATTTTTTGCTACATTTTTAAAAATAAATAAGAAAACAGGTGTGTGTTCTGAGGAACTCATCTTTTATTTTACCCCTTGATTTCAAACACATGGCGGTAGGAGGACTCAGTCCAAGCTGAGTATAGTGTTAGCCACTATTTTCATCACAATCCCTCCCAGTTCTGACTGTTAAAATATCAGTTGAATCATTTCAGTCAGTCTTATATTGTAGTTGTGAACATGTAAAATTTACCAGGCTACACCAGCACCTGAGTTAACAGGACAGGGAGTGAAAATACCTCTACTTTCACCTTTATCTCATCTCCTCCAGCCCTTCCCCCACACGCTCTTCTCACACTAGTATGGATTAAAAGCTAAATAGGGTTGAGAAGTCAGAGCCTTCCAGTCCTTCCCACTCTCCCCTTTCGTTTACCTGTTATCTCTCCCTAGCTCTCTGCCGATCTATTTTTTGCCAATCCAGACCTGGATCAAGGTTGGACCTCTTCTCACGCACCGTCCCTTCCTCTGTGGTTTGGGGTGAGTCCCAGTCCGAAACAGGGACAGCAAGACTAAACAACTGGAAATGTGGAGGTTTTAATTTTCAGTATTGTCTTCAATGAACTTGGATGTCAGAGGAGATAATTAGATTTTTTTTGGATTACCTATGATATTTTTTCCAATAAAAGGACGGAAGATAATTTTTCCTCCTGTACACTTCTGTACCCTCATCCACCTTGGATGGTGCAATTAACGACAGGCACTAAGCTTGACATGGTTCCTATGAAAACTGCTCCAGGTCAAAACCGTCTCTTTCTAAAATGTTCCACTTGTAAGGGTAATATGTTTTCATCTTTAATATTATTAATTCTTCCATCCTACAGTGTCATTGTGTCCTGGTTCAAATCAGTTTGCAGTGGAGCTCCACCCATAAAGGTGAGACTGTTGGAAAACCAACGATTGTTTAATCCCTTCATAAATTTGTTTTAGACTTTTTGCTCTATATAATGTAAAATGTTTTTTGAGGAATTAATATGATTTGACGTATTTATTTTCAATAGCACTTCAGAACAAGCCAAACATTTTAGTCAGTGCTCCTCTTAACCTATTACCAACTGATAAGCCAACGTCAGTATTAGCCTCTTTAAAAGGCTGGTTGGTTCGCCACTTGCTTGCTGCATTTCAGCTTGAAGAAAGAAATCAGGCTCCTTGGTATTTTGTTCTGTTAAACTGTATTTTTGTAACCACTGAATGCCACAGGTGGCTTACACCATGCCTCATTTAAGATTGTGCAAATATAAACTGGACAGATAAACAGGCTGATATTTGGGCCCATATCAGCTTATTGCAAATATATATCAGTATATGTGGGCTGGTAAGTAACAATATATTGCAGGACAGAAATGCAAAACTATGTTTGAGGTAACTGTGTCAATGTTATGTACTTGGTCCACCAGGGAGCACTGAGTTGATCTGTTAACTGTTAAATGTCACACTTAGTATGTATCTTTGTCCCAGCTCTTAAACTCTCTAAGCTGTGGACTGATGTTTTAAAATTGTCTTCATAAACCAATATTATATTGGTTGAGCAATTGTATTTCTTTCAACTGGAACTCCTCATATTCTCAATAAGCAATGTTCTAGCTCAATGCATTAGCTGCAATATTAAAATTCCCCCTCACCAGGCCTTTTGCCTAGCTGTTAATGTCAATACTTCTGACATGGGCAGACATTTTTAAAAAGTGTATATGTTGGATTTTCACTGCCCTTATCTTTGAACAATAAAGTCTCTAAATTCAGTAAATGTTAATTGATTAACAAGGTGTCCATATGTTTTTTCTAACTTAACGTGAAACACCAGCTCCATCGTACTGTAATCTTGATATATTTCTGGCAGTTAATACAAATTTAGATGCTAGTTTCAAGAATCTGAGGGATGCCTGGACTGACGAGGAAACATCCAGAAATGGATGGCTGAGATCTCAAGAGATTGACTTAAATCCAAATAGAGACATCAAGGCCAGATTTAGCGCCACATTACCTGGCACTTTGCAGAGCTTGCCACCACATGCCACTAATTCTTTAAGGAACGGCAATGGCACTCTGAGCACCGTTTCCTCTGTAAGACAGATTGACGGGACGGCTGTGGCTCAGGAGGTAGAGCGGGTTGGCCATTAATCAGTGGTTAGTGGTTCAATCCCTGCCTCCCCCTGGTTGCATGTCGAAGTGTCCTTGGGCAAGATATTGAACCCTGAATTGCCCCTGGTGGCTGTTCCGCCTATGAATGTATGTATGAATGTGCGTGAATGTTAGTTTCCGTTCAAGCACTTAGGCTCAGTGTATGACTGGGTAAAAGCGCTTTGAGTGGTCAAAAAGACTAGAAAGGCACTATACGGAGCATTTACATTTGATGCTGATAAGATTCAACATCACATTCTGTTAAACAAAACAGCTCAGCAACATTTAAGTTCAGGTCGGGATTTCGGGATCATGTCTGATCATGTCCGGGAGACTGTTTAAGCCCTGAGTAAAACTCAAAACCGCATCACACCTGCTTGTCATGTTACAAATTTCCTAATTCTTTTCACCTTCTCTTTTTTCTGGAGGCAGTGATGGCTCGGGGTTGTCTCGTCACCTGTCCAGATTTGGACTAAAGGGCCTGCTGAGTGTCAAGGGAGACAACACAAAGACAGAATCACTGTCACAAATCACCATAATCTCTCCACTCCTCTTCTGTGTCTAAAGCATCAGAATAGTGGTGTGAGGAAATGGCAAGTCACAGGGACCCTCGCTTTCTGCACAACCTGTCCTACCACCCACGATGGCAGCATGACTTAGGAAAAGTGAAGAGAAAAAGACATATGCAGACAGTGGTTACAAACAGTTGCAGTGGATATAGTCTGGATAAATCATTAGCAGCTTCATCATCGTCATCAGGGCCATTGTCATCAAAACCACAGTTACTATCGTCCCCTGTGCAACGCTACAGGAGCTGTTGGGGAAACTGGTTTCTTCTGCCCTTACTCATAGTCTCATTACTACCCTGTCAAGCTTGGGGGACCACCTTCAAGGTGGCCCTGGTTGGACCCTGGACATGTGACATGTTATACTCTAAAGCCCTCCCTGACTTGGCAGCCCGCCTTGCCACCACTCGCATAAACAAGGACCCTTCCCTCAACAAAGGCTACTGGTATGACTACACACTGATTAATGAGGACTGCAAGTCCTCCCGTGCCCTTGCTCGCTTTGCGGAGCTGAAAGGTTATGGTGCTGCTTTCCTGGGCCCCGCCAATCCAGGCTACTGCTCCTCAGCTGCTTTGTACGCAAAAGAGTGGGATATTGGGATTCTTTCCTGGGGTTGCCTCAAACCACACATGAAAAGAGGAGAAATGTACCCCACCTTCCTGCAGCCGCTGCCACTGTCCTCCAATGTACTCTTCGCTGTGTTGCGGTACTTTCATTGGGCCCATGTGGCCATAATTTCGGAGGAGACAGACATCTGGGAATCCACAGGACAGGAGCTGGCCTCATCACTGAGGGCCCTTGGCCTGCCTGTCAACCCTGTGGTCACTATGGGGGACGACAAGGATGGGCCTCGGAGGGCCCTAACAAAAGTACGGGAAGCAGACCGGGTCAGAGGTGAGTTGAAGATGTTTAATATAAGAGACGATTAATATAAGACATTAAAACAACTATTTTATTATGCATGAATCATGCAAATAATACAGTTTCTAATGCCTCCTCTCTCCACCACAGTGGTCATTATGTGCATGCCTTCTGTCCTGATTGGTGGCCAATCCCAGTACCAACTTCTGACAACAGCCTTGGCCATGCGTATGATCGACCGTGGCTATGTGTTCATCCCCTACGACACCCTGCTCTATGCGTTACCCTATGAGGATGCACATTACTATTCGCTAGGCAATGACACCAAGCTGCGGAAAGCCTATGACGGGGTCCTCACCATCACAATGGACTCCGGAGAACGCAATTTCTATGAGGCCTTCAAAGATGCTCAGGACAGCTATGAAATTCGCAGCAGCACCCCACCAGAGCAGGTGAGATAATAGAACAAAATGACAAATGTGGAAGAAGATAAAAAAACAAAGGCACTTACCCAAACATCATATCACTGTCTCCTCTGTCAGGTTTCTCCATTTTTTGGCACCATCTACAACATGATGTACTACATAGCTATGGCTGCTGAGCAGGCCCGTGTCAATGAAGGCCGTTGGGTAACTGGTCAGATCCTAGGTAACAGCAAGGGTGGCTTTGAATTTAAAGGCTTTAATCAGCTCTTGAGGGCCGGCAGGAATGGCGAAGGTATGCAGGCTCGCTATGTAGTGCTGGACTACAGTGGCATGGGCACCACTCTCTACTCCACTCATATTCTGGCGGCTGCTCATACAGATGGCAAGACCGGGGGCTTGAAATACCTCAGTCGTTCGATCCATTTTGCAGGCAGCACGCCCTACACAGACTCAAGCTGCTGGTTTAGCCCATACTTTGCCTGTAGTGGAGGTGAGTGCACTAGTAGTGTCATTCCAGGAAATAAGTACAAGCTGGTCTATTTCTGAATTCAGTTCATTCAAACTTTCTTTCTTTGTGTTTTTTCTTCTCTTCTTCTCATCCCAAAGGCATAGATTCAGTCTCTCTCTTCATTCTGTTCTTTGTGTTCATTTTATTGGCTGGACTTGGAGTTAACTTTCTTATGGGTGTCAAGTACGTACAGCAGAATATCGAAGAATGATATCTCATCTGAGGCTGTCTTGTGTGATTTAAAAAAAATATCATGATTGTTTTTCTTTTTTTGTTTTCTGCCCTGACAGAAAAGGCAGGGTTGGGCTCAGCTTTGGAAGTGGTAACGGTGGATCAAAGAAGATAGTTCTGACCCTGGATGACCTGGTCTTCATCAACACTCAAGTCAGCAAACGGGTCAGTTGTGTGCTGAATCTCTGACAATCGACTGTCTTTTGCTTTGGTTTGCTTCTCTCTGCTTTTAGTGAAACCTGCTAAGGTTATCCACTCTTAAGATGACCTGTTCTCTTTGAACTGTGTGTGTGAGCAGAAGATCAATGACGAAAGTATCTTGAGAAGCCAGCTGGATGTGAAGACCCCTCAACACTCGGTGTCTGGTCGCAGCTACTTGGCCTCCTCTCCAGAAAGATCCAACGTTGCCGTGTTTGAGGTGAGGGGAGTCGGCCATGACACATTCAATAAATTCTGACCTTTGGATGTTTTTGGTTTCACAAAACTGTGTCGTTTTGTGCGCATCCCAGGGTGACTGGGTTTGGTTGAAGAAATGTCCCGCTGGAGCAGTGTCGGGTGTCAACAGCGACACTGAGTTTGTCTTTGTCAAGGTAAATGTGTGAAGGAAGCGCTGAGTTGGTTTGTTTTCCTAACAAAGGCACATCAGTCATTATTTGAACAACTGACTCTTCATTTTTGAGAGAAAACACAAAACACAGACTGGCCTGGTTGAGTGATTACATGTAGATATGCTGCCATTTAGTATTACAAAACGCCTATTGAGTACACTAACCCAGGCCAAAGAAAAAATGTATCAAGCTGAGTGATACAGTAGCGTAGTTACATCCACAAAACATTTCACAGCCATGATGTTTCCATTGTCTTCCTATCAGCTCAGAGACATGAGGCATGAGAACCTCAATCTGTTCCTCGGACTGTTCTTCGACTCTGGGATCTTTGGTGTTGTGACTGAGCACTGCACCAGGGGCAGCTTGGAGGATCTGCTCGGCAACGAGGAAGTGCGTCTCGACTGGATGTTCAAGTCTTCCCTGTTAATAGATCTGATTCGAGTAAGAGAGACAAAATTACCTGCTCTTTTTTCATTTCCTTTCATCTTGTTCATGTTTTGTCATCACTCACACCATTTCCTCCAACTGATATCAGGGAATGAAGTACCTGCACAATCGTGACGTCGTCCACGGGCGGCTCAAGTCCCGTAACTGTGTGGTGGACGGACGCTTTGTATTGAAGGTGACGGATTATGGGTTCAACGAAATTTTGATTTCCCAGAGCATTGAGAGTGACGATGGAAAGCCAGAGAGTGAGTTCAAGTGTATCCACAGACTAATTGAGCAACTTTGCCCGCACATTTGCCCGTATATTTTCTTTGTTTATTTATCGTTGTGCCTTATTTTTTTTCAATAAAGATCTGCTTTGGACGTCTCCTGAGCTGCTGCGAAGTTCCAGTCTGAGGAGGAAGGGCACTTTGGCCGGAGATGTCTACAGCTTCGCCATCGTTGCGCAGGAGGTCATCTGTCGCTGTACACCTTTCTGCATGCTGGACATGCCTGCCAAAGGTGAGTGATATGGTATTATTACAATTAAATCTGTGTGTTTTTGTCTGTGTGGTTGTGTTGTTCTTGGAATGTAAAAATAGTCCGCACAGTTGTTGATGCTTCCGTGAACATTCATCATCACCTGTGATTACAAAATGATGATCCAAAAAAAAAAAAAGAAATAGTGAAAATAGTCAATAGAGAACCCTGTAAGTGAAATTAATGTGTACAATATGCTCTAAGCCACCTAAATATACTGTATCCGAATCATCAAGTAAATAAACCACTATGGCATGTTGAGAGGAGAAAAATATAGGCTACTCAGTATGTGAGTAAAACATAATGCATAGTAAAAATGCACAATAAAGTCCTCAGAAATGTATGTGCTTCAGTAGAGCACCTAGTATTTATCATGTTTGGATGTATGTGCTTTTGTACATTTATGTTTGCGTGTGGTGACAGAGATCATCAGCAAGGTCAAAGAGCCTCCTCCGCTGTGTCGGCCTGTTGTGTCCGTTGACGAGGCCCCACTGGACGTGATACAGATTGTAAAACAGGCCTGGAGTGAGGATCCTGATAAGAGGCCGACATTTGAGGAGATCTTCAAACAGGTAGAACCGCTGAAAACACACGCTGACCCAGATCTTCTACTCCTTATATATTGTTCCGTACACAAATAGCAAGCTGGAGATGACATGCCTGTTCCCTCCTTTTCATGTTAAAGTTCAAGAGCATCACCAAGGGAAAGAAGACCAACATCATCGACTCTATGCTGCGCATGTTGGAACAGTACTCCTCCAACTTGGAGGATCTGATTAGAGAGAGGACAGAGGAGCTGGAGGTGGAGAGACAGAAGACTGACCAACTTGTGGCTCAGATGTTGCCCAAGTGAGTGTCCAGCATCTTTAACGGTCACATGAAAGACCCAATAAAACTGTTGTCATGCTCTAAGTCATAGCTATTGTGACTGATGAGCAACAAAGACAAGCATTCCTGAAACTGGTAGGGATTCAGTGCTCCCTACAGTAGGGTGACGGCTTTCTGAGATACAGTAGTGGTTTGAGGCCCTGTGCTGCGATTTAACAATAATTCTCAGGAACTGTGGTGAAAATGTTGAGAGATTGTTATTGAATTGTCTTGTTGTCATCTCTTGAGCAGGAAAACACAAGTGAACAGTTTAAATAGTCAAAATGTATTTCTTTATTCAAACTTTTTCATCAGAATATGGCTGCTGAATTCAACAACTGTGGGAATATTTGGTGCAACAGTCCCATTGGTTGGATTGGCTTCTTTATATTTTGCTTGCTCATGCCAATTATTCTGTGCTTTTTCACACACAACACAACTAAATATACTGTAAGTGGTGTTTAGACTCAAATGCTACACTCAGCATAAAAACATCAGATCATATTCATTGGCTCTTGTATAGGCCCCCCCAAACATGTAAATTTACACTACTACATGAAGTGTCTTCATATGTGCAACCGGTCAGCCACCTCCGTTTTCTCAGTTCTGTCTCAGAGCTGGATGTTATAGTCAGAATTTTCTTCATCTAAAAGTAAAAACAAGGACACATTAACGTAGTCAAATGTGTTCTTAATAGCTTTGAAGTCTAATTGCATATCATTGAATCTTTATTATATAAAAAAAAAATGACTGCAGTTATTTGAAATCACTGATCTGCCAAAGAGAAGTGGCTTTTCTATATTTAACTGTTGCTACGGTTAAATATGTTAACTACAAATTGAGAGGAGAGAATCACACCATGCTGTTCATTATACTGTATCTCAGTCATGTATTTCGAGGCATCACTTTTCCTGTTTGCAATGATTAATAATTATATTTGGGGGGGGGATTAGAAAGGGACAGCGGTCTGAATAAGTGTAAAATTACATTCAGCAGTGTCAGGCTTTTTAGAGAGGACTGTTTCTTCATCTTCAGCACCTCAGAGTGTCATCTACTCAACATATTCCTCTTGCAGGTCTGTGGCCCAGGCGTTGAAGACAGGGAAGCCCGTTAAACCCGAGCACTTCAGCGAGGTCACGCTGTACTTCAGTGACATCGTGGGCTTCACCACCATCTCTGCCCTCAGCGAGCCCATCGAGGTGGTCGACTTACTCAATGACCTCTACACACTCTTTGATGCTATCATTGGACTGCATGATGTCTACAAGGTGAGTGTTGGAGGAGCGTGCATACATATCTACGATGAACTGTTTTTTTTCAATATTTCACTTCACTTATAGCCCACTTACTGTATTTTGTAGTGTTAGTTGTGGTATCTTATACATATTACAGTATTCTTCTGTAGGCTTTTTAAATCAGCGTGTAGAAATAAGCCAAATTTAATTGTGCTTCTATCCAATTCAATATTATTCTATGACAATCATTTTTTTATGTAATTTGTTCATTTTGAAAATAATTATAAAGATTTTTGTTTCAGTATTTTAACATAACATTAAAACTACAGTCAAAATGTCCACAAACATTAGAACTAGGATCCTATATTGTTGTCTTATTTTTATGGTATTTAGGTGGAAACTATCGGAGATGCCTACATGGTAGCCTCAGGAGTCCCCAATAGGAACGGCAACCGCCATGCAGCTGAGATGGCCAACATGTCTCTTGACATCCTCCACTGCATTGGGACCTTCAAGATGAGGCACATGCCTGAGCTAAAAGTCAGGATCCGCATTGGCCTGCACTCTGGTGAGCAACATGTCCATCCTCTCCGTGCTGTGACAAACTATGCACTAATCATCATGATATACAGTTGTAATGTTGCGTATGGAAAGTTCTTTACCTTGGATAAATCCTTTAAGAGTCACATCCATGTGTAATATGGCATGAAATAAATCCAAGCATTCTGAGTGATTTGTTGCATATAAATAGAAATACAGGAATAAGCTGCTAAGGTAAGGAGGTATTTTTATCTTCCTTATCCTTGTCTGGAACATATTACTGGAACAGTGAAACCCTATCCACTTAGAGTGCTGTCATCCAATTAACACACTGCATACTTTAGATTTTTAACTCCTTTCAATGAATTTCTTTATGAACACAGAGGTGGTAGTGCACAGTTTTAATTCCATGTTTTGGGAAAAGACTTGTGTAATTTTACTTAAATGGTAAGATAGTCTACCAGAAAGAGTGAGATAAAAAATGCACGGCAATCTGAGTCACAATGTAAAAATCTGACACACAAAATGGTTAACGATGATTTAAGGTATTACAAGGAGAAAGGCATCCTATTTAAAGCCCCCCAACCTCTGTGTGTGTGTGTGTTCTATGTTTGCAGGCCCAGTGGTAGCAGGAGTAGTGGGTCTCACGATGCCTCGATACTGTCTGTTTGGAGACACTGTGAACACAGCATCTCGAATGGAGTCCACAGGGTTGCGTGAGTGTCTCATATCGTCTCTATTATAAAACCAGACGAATCTCCTCTAACCCTTTCTATTCTTTTTTGAAATTGGCATTTTAAAAAAGAGGACAGGTGTGGTTTGTGTGCATGCTGCTTGAGGCTAAATAGGGCTTTAAGTGAGCAGTTCTTACTAATCCTTTAAGACTATCAGCAGAATTAGAGGCCAATCTGAAGTTTCAGTGTAAATGTCGTCAATGACCAAGTTTGACTTGGCTGCCCTCTGCGTGCTGTTAAGTATGCTAATTAAGTATCAGCTACTAAGTAAACATTACTTAATTGATGTTTAAAAATAACACTCATTTGATGGAGCTCCCAGAAGAGCATATTGTAATAAAATAAACTTTTCACCTTTAAACTGATCAGTGGTTGTTTACTGTATCTAAAATTACAATCATGCATGCACATGTGACTATACTGTATTTCTGCTATTAGGAGCAAAGCAATGATGAGTAGTCTACTGCCATCAAGTGGCTTAATACTGAAAGGACAGATTGATTTTCTACATTTCTGTGAAACAATCAGTTTAAACTTTAGAAAGTTCCGAGGCCATTACAGACTGTTCATGTATACCTGATATTAAAAGTGATTTCAGTGTGCAAATGCTGAGGATTTTACTGTATCTGTCATCACAGCTTACAGAATCCATGTCAACCAAAGCACAGTTGATATCCTGAACAGCTTGAAGCTGGGATACAAAATTGATGTCAGAGGCTTGACAGAGTTAAAGGTAAGATGATAAAAAAAGACACTAATAATACACACAGAAGATACACAGTGTATCTACTGGACTGCAATGTTAGCTAATGAATGCTAATGATCATTTATTTTCAGGGAAAAGGGATTGAGAACACATTTTGGTTGGTAGGGCGGGAGGATTTCACCAAGCCTCTGCCTATTCCTCCAGACACTCAAGGGTAAGAGAATGTTTTGGTTACTCCTCCACACATGCATACATGTGATTTGCCTGATTTATCTTTGCATATATACTTATACTGTATCATTTTAGACTATTGCAGCACAACTTAATGTAATCAAACAACCTATTTGTATGAATGGAATGTGGTGCTCTGTCCCAGTCATGGTGAATTAAAAGTGGTATTTTCTATTACAGGGGAAGCAATCATGGTATCAGTTTAGAAGAGATACCTGTTGACAGAAGACAAAAGTTCTTGGATCGACAGAAGAAGATGGGCTAGTGTTTTTTTTTTAACAAATGTCCCAGAATGAAAACTGATATTTTTCATTGAAAGAATACACAGATGTATTAATGAAAGGTTGAACATGCCATAATACCCTATAATTTGTGCTACGCTCAAAGTTAAATGCAGCACCAGTGACACTGGAAATCATTTCTATGCTAAAATAATCTTTCATTCTCTTCATTCACAGTTTTAGCACATCTGTGCCACAAAGAAAAAAACAACTCCAAGATGCAAAAAATTAGCCAAAAACATTACATTACATTACAGCGTGATATGCATATCAAGGTTGACTTACAGGTCTAAAATATGTTGATTTAGAGGACAGCAATTGCCTAACAAGAAGGGACTGTGATGGGTGTATCTACAAAAATCGCAGTATCATTTGTAATACCGGTGTACTTCATGTACTGTATGTATTTGTACTGATCTTTGTGCTTTGGAGAGATTTTATAATGAACACCCCAAGGGTGGAAGCTTTTACTGCTCGACCATTCATCTCTGGTATAATAGTCTATGCTGCACTCACTTTAGAAGCATTAGCCTTTTACAACAACACAGAATTAATACATTAAAACATTTTCACAGTAACTTAAGCTGGAAAGCACTGGGCAGGTCAGTCAGGGTTGAGAGCTCAGGTCTGGAATATCTCTGATTTTGCTTTTGTGGCAGCATTGCTGGGATTATTCACACATTTGATAAATGAAGCCATATTATCAAAAATGGTCTAAACAAAGCATCTGGTTTGTTTATTTAATAATACAATAAATTATTAATATAGAATTTTTTATAAACTCAATAATACTTGACTACGTTTCTCTACTGTGATAAGCCTATTTGAGTTGATTTGACTGATGGGTCTGGTACTAACTTATTAAATTTAATTAAATATGCTCTAAATTTTAGTTTAGATTACTTATTCCAATTGTAATCACAAAAAGAAAATGATGATGGGGCCAAAAACACCTGCAAAGCTGAAATAGATAAATATATTCCAACATTTAATGACAAATAGTTTTGACAATAGAAAAATGCCATGGGACCCACATGATTGACTAATGATGTGCATATATAGTATGTTTCTCTCCCTAATGCTGTTATAACACTACATACAGTATGTATTGCTTTTAACATTATGCTGACATTTTCTACCAAATAGAAGACGTATGCAACAAACAAGACCCAAACTATTGCTTGCTAACAACAATGTAGTTTTACTATAGCTTCACCTACAGTACATTTAGCCTATTATTGTACTGTATGTACTGTACAGCACGCTGTGTGTTCAATGGGGTCTAAATAGGACAGCAATAGGAAGACCTGATTTCTGTGACATACATCTGCTTTGCACTGATATGCAGAATGTCGAAGTCAATTGACTGAAATGATCATCTCCAATAATGTGCTTCAGCAGATTGAGCCTTTTCATGTGTATTGCCATCTTCCAGAGGAAAATGTCTCTCAGCCATTATCTTTTGTTTTGGGCTCTGCTGGACCCCATACAGCGGCTGTATCTGAAGGTGCACTGAACAAATGTCCCTCCCATACCCACCCCCAGGGGATCCTAGTTGAATTTTGAAGAACGTATGGGGGGAAACATGCATATAAAAAGGGGAGGGGAGTCATTTCTCTTTGGCCTGGTGTATGCAGTGTATATACTGTACATGTGTACATAGTTTGTCATTGTCCTGTAGGGACTTTTCAGTGGAGTTTCTTTCTGCTTGAGTTCTCTAAATCCCTGAAACAAAAGGGGAAACCAACAGAACACAAGGGTTTAATCAGAGTGCATTGAAAAAGCGAGCAACCACATTGTGTACTCACTCTCCTTTGGCTCGCTAATTGTCTGCAGCAGCACTGATATTGAAGCAACAACAGGCAGGCAATGTCAGGGTGTGATGTTCCTCTAAAGAGTTTCAGGCTGTGGCCATTTTTTCCTTGGGAGCTAACTGCTGACCACTTCCAACATACACGACTTGTCACAGTAGCTCAGCGTATAGACAAAAAAATGGAGGTCTGATGACTTGATTATCGGGTTGCTTGTGTCTTAGTCTTTCACACCATTAAGTATTTAGCACCAGCACTGGCTCTTCAAGCATGATTAAACCCCTGGCGAAGAGGAAATGCGGGATTCTAAATCAAGATGAAGGACATGGGGGAAGCTGTCTGAATGTTTCCAAAGAACAAAATTAATTATTCTATTGCATAGGTAGGACTTACCTTTTCTAGATTTTTAATCAATTTGCCAAATAGCTAGATCTCATCAAAACTGAATGGACTGTATTGTTAATTTTAAAAGTGATCTCAATGTGTTTCTATAAATAAATTATGGTTTTAGTGAAGTTTGTGTCTTTGTATGTTTGTCTTATTCCCTACTGTTGAGTCTATAAAATTGGCTATTTTCCCAAATGGTGCCAGTAGGCTACATTAAATTCTGAGTCAAAACAAGCATGATATTTCTATGTTAGTGGCTTTTATCTATCAAATATGATTCACAATTTAAGTTTTGAAATAGCAGTGTTGTAAATGGGCAGGGCATTACAAAGGACAAAAGGATCGACATACGTACAACTCCACTCAGTTGTGAAGAAGAGACAGTAACTCAATGGACGTCTTACCTCACCATTTCACCATAACAAGTTGATGCTAACAAGCTTTGGGCTGGTTTTACTTAGTCCAGAATGAATGTTTTATTCTGCTGTGGAACACTCCAATGAAAATGTAAGGAGAGCTTTACATAATGCAATGTGGTAAACACACACTTTGAGGGTTTGTGTGTCAATGTCAACTTCAAAGTGATTCTTATTTCTGCCACTAACAGGGTTGGCTATAAGGACCATCTCATCAATTTGACAGGTTGCTATGCCCATTTTTTTTGTCACTTTCATGGAGCAATCACATACCTGGGATTTAACCACAGACTATATCTTCTACAGTATAAGACTCTAGTCTTAGACTCTCTCACACTGTATGCATTTAATGGCTGTATGAAAATCGACAATACTACTCCACAAAAAATGCATATAGCTGCATTAGCCCTGACCTCTCAAACAGCATGTTTTGCAGTTTCCTCCTTTCTGCCTTCAGTCAGTCGAGTACCCCCCCCCCCCCCCCCCCCCCAAAAAAAAAAAAGCTGATTTACACCACATAGCCTGAACTGTCTGATCGTCCACATGATCACGAACGAAATCGTCCTCGGCTGAACACCGTGTTCTTCTTAGCACCTCATCAGTCCAGAAGCCCCACTGGCATTTGACTGGCACCGGCTGCCAGTCAAGCAGAAGCTGCGTCAAGTCTGCCAGAGAGAGCCAGGGGGAGACCGGAAACTAAGCAGAATGGCTTTCACAATGTAGGTTGTTTGTGGTCACAATAAAACACATTGGAATCCTGGATTGAATCATGAACTTATGAAGCTGTAGTTGATAAGTAGACGCTGTTATTGTTATTACATTTTACTCTGAATGATCAGTTGTTCTTACAGGAATGAGATGCTGATCTGCTCACTGTGACAGAGCAAGATAACTCATTTGGGAGGGATGAAGGGTCAACCTGCTGCTTCTCTCCAGTTAGAGGAGAGTAGTAGTTTTGAATATCTCCTCACATGTCCAACTTTCGGTGTCACTGGCCTATAGCGCTGAGGGAGCTGGAGGGAGAAAGTATGCCTGTGCCTGTGTTGTGATTTTCCTACTTGCCATGTTTTCCCTTTCCCCCGAACAGGATAAGTGATGGAAAAATACAAGAATGGATAAGCAGATGGATAGTTATTGAAGTTGACGGTGGTTTTATTGTAAAAATATTTACCGGAAGTTGTGTTTTTACTCCGCCCAACTTGACAGTGGTGGTTATAGACTGACTGGGCAACCTCAGACAGGTGGAGGAGACGTCCTTAAGCAGCTGAACTGCACCGCGGTTGGACTGGGCTGGGCTGCAGGACGAGCAGCGGTGGACTCTGTGCACGCTCGGTGCGCGGATCCTCCTGCAGATGCTGGATTCACAGTAGGCTATGGAACCAGATCCAAAACATGGTCTGGCTGATTTTCCTATCCTGAGCCTCCGCACACATGCTGGACACTTAAATGTGGACACGGGGAGGACGAGGGATGTAGTTGCAATGGATTAATGAGGACTAGGCTACACATGGATTTTTTCCCCTGAGATTATTGGCTTGTCATATTTTTCGCCCTGCCTTGGCCATGGAGAACCAAGCAGCCGAGCTGCAGAACTATGAAGATGTACAGAAAAGCGGCTATCTCCGCAAGCATAAATCAATGCACCGGCGGTTCTTCGTGCTGAGGGCGGCCTCTGAGCATGGTCCTGCTCGACTTGAGTATTATGAGAACGAGAAGAAATTCCGCAGTAAATCACCTGTGCCCAAAAAAGTCCTGAACCTGGAGACTTGCTTCAACATCAACAAGCGGGCAGATTCCAAGAACAAGCACATGATAGTCCTTTATACCCGCAGCGAGAGCTTTGCCATCGCTGCAGACAGTGAGGAGATCCAAAATGAGTGGTACCAAGCAATGCAGGACCTTCAGTGCAACTGTAAGATATGAAAAGTGTGATGTGATTTCAACTGTCTGTCTCTGCATCAGGCCTCTCCTACCGTAGGCTGTTTGTTCTCCATACACTATTTGGCTCCTCGGCCATTCCTGATTGTTCATTGTAGGCTACAATTCTGGCTCGAATTGTTTGACTATTTTTTGCTACAGGTCTGGTTTCCTCATTTAATTCGAATAAATTAGTCTAAGTAATGCAGTTTGGACGGTGTGGTTTTAACCAAAGGGCAGGTGGATCCGACTCAACGGGGACAACACGCTATGGGCGGCATGTGGTGTGTTTGTACTGCACAATCTCAATAAGCGTTGGTTTAAAATTGTTATAACCTGCGGATTTTCTGGCAGAAAAAAAAATTTGATGCATTAGCAACAGCATGTAACCGTAATATTTCGAGGATCGCCTTTTCTGACTAAAATGCAGCTCATTTCACACGACGGTGTGTTTTTGCATGGCGCAGTGGGCATATAGCAACCATCTAACGAATGCATCATATAGTAGTAGCCTATCGTGGTGCACTCCGCTGGAGCCTGTGTTTTTGTTTTTCTGCACAGCTCTGACTGCCGTTCGCCTAACCTACATTTCTGTTGAACGGCGCTGCTGGTAGGGAGGAGATGTCATCGTCAGTGCGCTCTCACTGGAAAATGCGTTTCAGTTGGTTATCCTCGTGTTTACGTTGTTATCCTTATGCTGGAGCCTGAACATCACCACCCTCCCTCCCTCCCTCCCTCTGCAGTTCAGTTAGTTGAGACTGATGGGCTTGCCCAGCTTCAATGTTGTCACGTTGTGGTTCCCTAAATAGATACACGTTAGAGTACAGACCCCATTTTGTTGAGCTTATTTCTCAGGGACAGCCACAATAACACTGCTCTTAATTTAATTTAATTTTACAGTATTTCTGTCCATAATGTGCATAGAGATGTTGAAATGAAAAACATGTGGGTATAGTAATTCCCATGGGGATCATCTCTAATAAATGTAATATTTTTCTTGAGGATGGGAGCAAACCAGTACAGTTGTCAGTTGTTCAGTGAAGACAACAGTGACTGTGTGGCAAGAAAAAAACAAAACAAAATTATAATTCTGTAATTTGTTATGTGATTGGCATTGGACTGAAACATGATGCACTATT